GTTGGAAAGGTCGTATTGTAGTTCCTCGGGACAAACCACTTAACTTATGTAACATTGAATATCACGGAAGTCATGATCCAGAACATGTTTGAAAAAAACTACTTCGAATAACTACTTCAGTTAGAAAAACAATATCAAATCGAGCTACAAACGTAACTCCTTCGATACTGGCAACAGGTTATAGAGCAAACTTCTATTTAAAAAAAAAGTCAAAATTTAATTTGCTAACTAGTTTTTTTTCCTCTTTTTCTAGAACTAATGAATGGCGCTAAGATTTTAAGTACAACTGCCACCACACCAGAAAACCAAGTGCCACCAACATCTACCCGGTTTGTTCCTAATCTTGAGGCAATTCAGAATGCACTTAAATATGATAAAAAATTGCATTATCCAAGTGTATTAGAATATGAAAAAGTAAGAAACTGTTTTTGTGAGAAGTAATTTTAGAACTGGGTGAAATCCACGCTGTAAATTGATAAAATCCGCTACAAAGATCACATTAGGGTAAAATCTGCAAAAGCGGATTTCACCCTCATGTGGTCTTTATAGCGGATTTACTAATTCACAATACCGGCTTCGCCTTGTCGTGTTATTTTTCCTCTATTTAATTCTACTTGCCAATAGGTTTGTTCTATAATGGATATCCATGAGTCTGAAGGCACTGTTATATCGAAGCAATATGGTGTTAAAGATGCTCAAGACCCCAAAGACCAAGCTGTGCTTCTTGGTGTCGCATCTACAATTATGCCAACACTACTAACAAAATATCCAGATTTTCTATCCGTGGACTCTACTGGTCGTCGTAACAGCTTAAACTTTCCAAATACCGCCTTCATGGTTAGATCAGATGAACCTCGTGGTCGAATTGTAGCAACATTTGTAAGTGACAAGGAAATGATACCAGTCGTCGATTTGATGTTCAACTCGGTGAGTTTTTAATTAGGCCGTTCAAAGTTGAATAGCTGGTTAATGTTATCCCTCTCTTGATAAACTGTTCCCCGAAATTAAACAAGTCAATCACAACGCAGCAAAAAATTAATTAATCATATGATTAAAGTTAAGGCCAGATCAATTTGATTTGGTGGTTTACATTACCCCCCCTCTTTTGACCTTTCCCTTTCTCTCTTAGTAAAAAAACTTTTTGGGATATACATATATGATTTTGGCTGGAGAGCTAATACCAGACGGAATTAAGATTAGAAATTGTAAGGATCCGAAAAATTTCGAAGAGGAAATGAACAAACATAAATTACGAGCAAGGTCAGGCAGATAATTTCCGATTGAAAATAAAATTCACTATGTATACGTTCCATTCTCCCCCCTCCTCCCCCTCTTTTGAAAAAGGGATGTAATGTAAACCACCAAATCAAGTTGGTCTCGCCTAACCAATGAAATTCAATCAAATATTCTTAGAGCGCATATATTTTTTATTAAATTTTTTTCTTCTCCCCACATTTTGAGCCTAAAGTATTGATGTTAATCAATTATCAACTTTGAACGATCTTGTTTTAAATTTTGTTAAATTTTGCTTAATAATTTTCTAACATAAACTGGTTAAAGCTAATTCAATATAGTATCAAGAATAATGTTCAACTAAACCCTAGATGGTTATCAATGGATAAATGGGACCCTTATTTGACAGCAACCAGAAAACATTTTCCTAATACGCAGATAGTTTTATGCGATTGGCATGAAGGTGAGTTTTCTTAAATTATTCTTGTTACCGTATAATGCTATCTGCAATAATCTGTGTGACAAATATGGATCAATTTTTAAAATA